CTTGCTTAACTCCGCCTTCTGATTTATGTATTAGTTTGCCATTCATTAAATCTGTGTACGTGACATGCAATGATACTGCATGCGTACATACTGCATATTGGGATATTTACTCTCATTAGATGGAGATAAATGTATAGAGAATTAGAATTTGAGAGTGGTGCGGTACACAATTATTTCAATTCGGAGTGTTGGTCATATACACGTAAAGTGACTGCCTTTGTGGTCATAGTGGAGATTGGGTCGTGCCATTGGATTGGCCCGGGGCCACTATGAAGATCGACACCGGTAAATGCTCATTGAAGAATGGAGACACAGTAACTGTGATCTTTGCAATTCGTAAACGGGGAAAATAATTCGAGGTCGATGTAACAACAGACTGTTGGGGCAAGTGCTGTTAGCGAGCACCTATGAAGGCCGGCACGGCACACGAGGGGGGTGGGTGGCCAACACCACGCCCGGCCGCCTTTGTCTCCCTAGCGGCGATGTTTACACACCGCACCAGGTACTAATTTGAGGCTGAGTCGACCTAGGGGAGGCCCAGGACCGGTTCAGATAATCGTCACTGGTGTTGGCCGAGAGCGGGAATCGAACCCGTGTCGCCAGGTTCGTAGCGCAGCGCACTAACCACTACACTACCGCTCCCCACACACTCAAACTCCCACACACACTCACACACACGCACACACTCCCACACATAAGATCCCGATACATCATACCGACAGGTGCTGTTTGAGAACTCCTACTCACTGTTATGTTCAACACCGTCCGCAGCACACGCGTACACGCGCGCACACGTGACTGGCGGTGCAGGCGTTAAAGACAGGCTTGGGTTTTAACATGACATACACCTACCTGTCCTTGCTGGGTTCCTGCCTAACTATAGGCTGCCAGAGAACCAGCCAAAGCTCATTTTTCTCAAAGTTTGATGCAGTATGAGGCAAGAAAATGAAACAATAAATATTAACAAAGTGTTGTAATGTAGGCTATTGTAATGTGTATTAGATTTTTAAATCAAAGTCTAAGCGCTTTTGTGTGGCAACCCCGAGCCTCTGGTATGAATTCCATATTCCCATGGCAGGAGCCAGTCTCTAGAAGTAACTGGTAATTAACCGGCGCTGACTTCCCACAAAGCGATACTAATTCCACCAACCATAGAGGGTGCGTAAGCTAAGTCTACTGTGGATCGGAATTGTTGCAACCTTTCGTTCGTGAGTCAAGCTCTGGTCACGCTATTGTCCATCTATTTCGTCAGTTTTTGACTAAATACGTTTAAATGGCGAGTGTTTTGCTCTCAATGCTGATACAGTGTACATCGCATCGCGCTTTCATCTTACAAAACATACGAACAGCAGTAGACTGTGTTGTAACACAAAGGGAGCTATGATACAAAATCCTAATAACATTTTCATAAGGTACCTAAATGCCTCAAAAACTCATGGCGCCTTGCATCACATCTCACCTGAAACATTCGAAGGGCAGCCCTGGTGGCAGCTGTCTCTGCATGGCACAACGGGCCACACAGAGGCCTTGAGTCTGGCAGTCGTGGCCGGTGATTGCTGTGCGTCATCCCAATTGAGTATTTTGCTACGTTCAGAGCAGTACTACATTTTGCCTGTGGAATTTGATATCCACTGATTACTAATACGTTGCGATAACAAAATGTTTGCTTTAGAAATATAAGGTTAACCAATTCGGCAGTTCATATGAAGTATAAGAAACATAAAAACGATGCATTAAACTGCCTTTGCACCGTATTTAATGTGGAGCTTGACAGCTCCTGGCAAATTATTGATCCTTGCCTAATGCCCTTGCTCAGTTGGCCACGAAAGACTTCCTTTCGTGGTCAACTTCAACGCTTTTCTATCCCCCCCCCCCCCCGCCACTGGCTTTACCAGAATTAACTGGTGATGACAAATCGCTGAGTTACGTGCTTCATGGTGAGACGTAGAGCACCCTCACCGCCCCTGAATGTTGTGAGATGTCACCGTCCAAACGAGCAGATGCGAGGTTTGTATTGTACCATACAGACATGTGGACCAAGCAAGAAAGAAGAGGGCCTATAGAGGCAGACATCACAGTCCGTATTAAGAAGAAGAAAAAAAACGGGCGTGAGCGGACTATTCCGCTCGAAGGCAATCAATGAACAAAGCTATTGAAGGAATGACAGTGGAGAGAATGAACGCGCATGAAGGGATGAATGGCCAAAGTGGAGATGGAATGAATTAATCAGGACAAACATTGGGGAGTGAGATGGATTGCGGCTTCTCAGAAGCCAAGTATATTCGTGTCTGCTTACAGATTCTCCACACAGTGGACTGAAAGAACACGGTGGTAGTGGTGGTAGTGAGGTTGGCGATGGTCGTGATGAATATATATGATGAATAATTGATTGGAGTGAAACTTTATATTTCATTAAAAATTCTGAAAATTAGTTTCATGGTTTTGCTACTGCTGCCAGCAAGAGCCAATTCAGGTTCATTACAGATACTCAACGCGCACACAGCCAAATACATGCCAGATATCATATGTAGTGTATTTCAACAACAACTGATCCTGTTTGAAAGTTTTAAGGCAAAGCAACGGACCTCATAATGACTCCTTTCATTCAGAACGAGCATCTTACGCGATTCCGTATGACAAATATTACTTCAGACAGTGCTATGACTGACAGACATAGATTCAGAAAGGTTCCTATAATCATAACCTTTAGCCATGATGAATCCACCGCTAGATGAATGCCTCCCCACGCCATCATCATCTCTTGTGATCCTGGGATGTACGAATCCACAAGCTTATTTATTGCCCAACCTTCTCGGTGGGCATCCTCTTGGATGTCTCATTTCTTGTATGTAAATTCCATCATAAATTAATCTGAAATTAACTATAACTTAAAGTAAACTATGTAACGTAACTATGTTGATCTTACCAAGCAAGGCCCACTGAGCTATATAGATTTTTCAGATGCGACCTGGCCAACAAAGAATAACTTAATGAAGTGGCTTATTGCGTGCAAATTTATAGCAGCCAAATATTCTAAACGTACGTTGATTCTAAATGTAGAGGGGGAAACGGGAGGACCTCGATAAAAACCCACGCGACCACGGGAAGAGAGAAATGCAAATTCCAAATATACAGGCGTCAGTAATCGTACGCCACTGACCATTAGTCATCTCGCCTCGCCATATGTCCTGCCCAATTCCGGTTAGGGTGGTGTTATTAACCTTCGTGTGTTTCTGTCTCCCAATGCCATTCCAAGCATGCATCTTGAATTAGCACATATCACTTTTTCCCCCTTTTTTTCAATAACCACGTTTCTGAAACGCATGTCATCGCAGGTCGCGTGCACTATTTTTTTAACTGTAACTAATTATGAAAAACAGCTTCAACCATGAGAATGTGGCATTCCCACCACGTATTCAAGGCCACCAACGGAGATGAGCGTCGTCCCAATGCCTGGGACTATTAATAACTCTGCTTACTGCCGTAGCAATGTGGATATGAGTACCAAGCACGGCGAAGCTCATCTCCGTCACTGACATTGAACCCGGTGCGAAATTCCACATTCCCCGTGGCAGGCGTGCGGGACCACTTAATACGAAATCCGCACGTCCGATGAGCACGGTCGGTCACGTACGGCGCGAACGAAGTTCAACGCTACGTACAACGTCGACGTCTCCCAGAGTGTAACCAGTTGCCATTCCACCAGGCCAAGGAGACAATTCAGTCGAAGCCGCAGCACCAACGTTTGTCAGCTGCGGAGGTGCAACGGAGAGGGAGGTTTCAAGGCTCGACGCGCTCTGTCTACGGGTGGAGGGGCAGAATAAAAGCAAGCAGCGAAAGGCGAAGTGGGGGAGGAGGAGACAGGGTGGAGGCAGGGGCGTTAGAGAGGGGGGGGTAGGAAAGGAGGGGATGAGATGGAAATGGGTGGTTGAGTTCGGCAGTGGATGGATATGTGTGTGGGGGGGTAGGGTGGGAAGCTTGTGGTTTGGGGTTGGGTGGGTGGGTGGTGGTAGCTATGGTTGGTGGCATGTGTATGTGTCTTTGTTGGTGGCTGAATAGGTGCTCACTAACAGCACTTGCCCCAAAACAGTCTATAAGACCATCTGGGATGCGTTCGTGTTTGTTCGTAAGGTCTAAGTGTCGGTGTCTCGGGAGAAGGGGTTCGATTCACGACCACTGACATCAGCGCAAAGTGCTGTCTGAACCTGGCTCGACCTGCCCGTAGGTCGACCCAGCCTTAAATGAGCTCTTGATGGAGTGAGTTACACACATCAGCGCTGGGGGTGGTTCAAGCTGCGCCGTTTCCTCGCGTGAAACGCCGACCTCACTTAATACTGCACATCTGTGACAACTTCAGGACTTCTGTGCAAACGGGCTTCGCTGCTCGTCGTATTTTCTCCCTGTATGAATAAATATTCCGATTCTGAATAGGTGCTCGCAAACATCTATTGCCCCATTCAGTCCGTAAGGCTAAACGGGAGAGGGGGTTAACAGAGGGAAGTGGTTCATCTATGTCCTTGTGTCTGCGAGAGTGACTGGGGGAGCGGTGGTGCAGCGGTTAGCGTGCTGCGCTACGAACCCAGCGGACCGGATTCGATTCCCTCTCACGGCCAACACCAGTGGCGATTATTTGAACCGGTTCTGGGCATCCCCTATGTCGACTCAGCCTCAAATGGGTACCTGGTGCGGTGTGTAAACATCGCCACTTGGGAGACAAAGGCGGCCGTGCGTGGTGCTGGCCACCCACCCCCTCGTGTACCGTTCCGGACTTTAATAGGTGCTCGCTAACAGCACTTGCCCCAACAGTCCGCTAAAGGCTACACGGGGGATCTTTGCCTTTGTGTCTGCGAGTGGGGGTAGGGTCAGTCGTGAGCGCTGTGTGGGGGTAGGGTAAAGGGAGGGAGGGGGTGGATGAAGGGAGGGGAGGGTGGAGGGAGGGTGGGGGAGGGCTTGGATCGAGGGAGGGGTTTGGCTCAGCGCTTTTGCTCGCTGCTGGCGAGGCAAGCGCAGCCCGGCAATCATTCGCTCCTCTGCCGCCTCCTCGGCTGGATGGTAGCGGGTTAAGGGCTTCGCATCCTCCACTCGCCTCGTCTCGCAGAGGGAGCCGTCCTCGTTCGGAACCCCCCCGAATTCTGCACGTCTCGCGCGCGCGCACGCACGCACGCGCACACAGGGACCATGGCCTCGGGAAATTTCGCCGCTCTCTCCCTGACATGGATTTTCGCCGGATTTCTTGGGATTTGCACCGCCGTGGCTTCAAACGAAGGTAAAGCGGCCGCGTCCACTGAAACCGCTCGTTCGCATTGTGCGTGTGTTTTTTGTAGCGTTGTGTTTTTTGTTTAAGTTTTATTGAAACATCACAGACTTGTCGCACGCACGTTCCTACACGCATGCACGTGCAACTGCTGTGCATGCAGCACGGCAATGCGCAGTGAAGCTTCAGCAGTGTCAGAGACTAGGGATAGTGTCACAACGGCACAGTTTTAACCGTCTCATGAATGTATAAGATTGACAACACTTGGAGCACGTTCTTTAAGTGCACTCTGCAGAAGTGGCGGGTCTAACTGCAGTAAGTAAAGAATGTGTAATCCAAACTAGACGTCGCCTACTCACTCAAGGCACTGGAAGAAAGTCAATGACTTTTCGTTTGTTGGTCACACGAGCGATAGAAACGAGGAGTTCATCTCCGTTGGCGACATTGACGCAGTGATGGAAATTCCGCATTCCCATGGCAGGGCGCAGTATATCCTCCGTCAAGTTTTGCAAAAGTGTACCCACGCACTGAAAGCGGCGTTGGGAGTACTCTATGCAATTTTATAAAGTACTTGTAATCTAGACATTTTACACACGTGTGTACAGCAGGCGCCGTCCGGCATACGCATCACATTGTATAGTGTATGCGACATTTCACAGCGTCTAAATACAGCCTGCCCCGCAGACCTCTATTCTAGAGAAAAACGTATGAACATCACGCAAGAGCGTGATTACTAAGTTCTACGGAGAAAGTAATTCTATAAAGGTCTATGATACATCGCAATGTGGGTACTAGATTAGAGGGTCCGTTTTAATGGGGACATAATACAAAGGAATCTGTGCTCTTGACAAGTTCCTCTGCTCAAGTGCGCGCATTGCCTGGGGTTTGCGAACGGCCCGGTGGCTCAAGTCAAAGAGATGCGATGCCGTGTGCGAAAATATTCACTACTTCGTCGGGTATACAGGAGGTCTTGAATTCGAGCCCGTCCCTGAAGGCTGTACATTTGGAGTCCGCATGCCTCTTTCTCCCCGTGGTCGCGTGGATTTTTTTTTTCGTCCTGGTACCTCCGGTTTTAACCCTGACACATTTAGACTCAACATGCGGAAAATATGATTTGGTTGCGGTACATTTCCGCATGATGAAGCCACTTCGACGAGTTGTCATTTGTGGTTAGGTCGCTTAGTTAATGAGAGCAAGATATTTCGGTGGGGGCCTGACTTGGTAAAATAATAAATTAATGTAGCGCAGGCGAATTTCAGTTCTCTTCGGGTTCCGACACCCACGCAGTTTCTCTCATGAGCCGGGAATTAATGGAATGATGAAACGCGAAAAACAAAGTCCCCGCCCTCGCCACGGGCACGGGGAATTTCCACCAAAACGAGAGGAGGGCCGCTCAATTCCTCTTTTGAGCTGAGACACATCCACAGACCTCTTGATGCTAGTGATGACGATGTGTGTTTTTTTCAAGTGCCCTTTATCCCAGAAAGACTGAGAGTCTCAGGATCGCTCTTCATGAGAGTCCTGATTGAGGAGATTTGGCAACTGCCATTCGTAATTGGTTGGCTTCGCCTGCGGCGAAAACCCGAATTCTCTGAGATACGCATAATGCTCATAACTCCGCACAGATAGAGTCAAGAATCTCTTGATGTGCCTGGCCTTGCGTCTATTCGCCAGCTCGCAGGATAATGATAACAGCGTAGTACTGTCTTGAAGCGTACGCTGTTGCGCATGAGTCATTCGGTGAGTAAAGTTGATAGGAAGCGTGAGTAAAAACACACACGCGACTGGGATATTTGTGTGGATGGCTTTCCCTTAAGAAAGATACGTACGCCACTACGTCGACATCATAGAGACTTACGTTGGAAAACAAAGACAAAGATCCCCCGTATAGCCCTAACAGACTGTAGGGACAAGTGCTGTTAGCGAGCACTTATGAAGGCCGGCACGGCACACGAGGGGGTGGGTGGCCAGCACCAGGCCCAGCCGCCTTTGTCTCCCCGGCAGTGATGTTTACCCACCGCACCAGGTACTCATTCGAGGCTGAGTCGACCTAGGGGAAGACCCAAGACCGTTTCAGATAATCGTCACCGGCGTTGGCCAGTGAGCGGGAATCGAACTTGGGTCACCGGGTTCGTAGCGCAGCGCGCTGACCGCTACAACCACCGGCTCCACACGTTGGAAAACACAAACACGCACAGCTTGGACTTTGCTTCGAGACGTGTGGAAGCCACAACGCTGGACGATGGAATCGTTCAACATTGTTAACTCTTGACTCACGCGCATCTACTTTGAATAGAGGAAACGAAAGTGAATGTGCCGCAACACAACACACACCACAGCTCTACCGACCCGAACACGAGGGTCGTCTATGCCTATGGCATCCACAGGATAAGTACGTTGAGTGTCACAATGTAGGCTGCTCTTGCACAACGTCTGTATAGACTATAGAGCAATTGACATGGAGAGAAAAAACAACATACACACACTTCAGACGCTGTCTTTCCGACAGACCTGTTCTTCACCTGAGGACGGCTGTTTGCGTTGTGGCCGAAACGTCGTGAGAATTATTTTATTATGTTTTATTTTTTTATTATTTCCCTTCTACGTGACTTTACCGAAAGAACCAAGGAGATGAATCCCTGCAGTCACGAAAGCTTTAAATCGAAATTTAAATCGAAATTTATACACACACTTGGAAAACGTATAAACAGACGAGTAAGAAAAGGCCTCTCGCTCTCTCTCACACACACAGACATGATATTTTCATTTAGTTATAAGCACTGTTAAGTTATTTAAAGCGACAAGCGTTTTTTTCCCCATTACGCTGCGCCTTCAAATCAAAGCAGTGCTAACCTCCCCGTTCGATGCACGCTCTAGCATCGGGGAGGCAGCGAGGCGGTGTGCGAGATGTGGTTTCTGCGGACGTGTCGAATGCCCACCACCAACATCCAACTCAAACGTGCCTTGCGGGCTAGAGCATACAACTGTTTTCAAATATAATCCAAGAGACACAGGATTGCGTACAGGGGCAGTGGCTGAACATATATAACCGTGCACGCCAAAACGTTGATATCAACAGCAAAAACAAAAGCCGCCCTCCAGATTAGAAATGCGTGTTGCTGCACCAATACTGTTGCACTATATCATCATTGTCAGTCATGATCGATCCACTGCTGGATGGAGACCTCCTCGAGTTTTCCCCGTATCTCACGGTCGTGCGGTGTCATTAATAATCCACGTGCAGCCAATTCCATCGCTCCATCTACTTGGTGGGCTTCCTTCGGGGACGCGTTCCATTTTACTGGCCGCCAATCCGTCATGAATCTTGAGCCATCCCAAGCTCACTGTTCTTGACAGATTTGAACCGCAACCTACGGATCCTCTCGCATCGGTGCTCCTCGTTCTGAAAATTGCCGTTGCAAACGAGCCAAATAAACACAAATAAGTAAACCCGTAAAAACAAAGTTTTTCACTCTAAATCCTTTATATGCGTGGCGGCTTGAGTCATCTCGTCCTTTGGCTTGAGATGGCTGCCACCTATGGGTCAGATGATTGTCTGCAGTATTAAACAATTGGTAATTAAATATAATATTTTTGTCCTATAAAGTGTAAAATTTTGGGAAAAAAATTTCACGAACATTAATTGTCACGCACAACGAGTCTGTGTGGAAAATGTCAACTCGATTGGATCATGGGAAGTGGGTTAAAAAACTACCGAAAGATTTACACGGTCGTAAGAAAGCAAGCACGCAAGCAAGCAAGCAAACTTAATATAAAGGATTTAAAAAGCGGTTACGTTTCGCCAACAACTGGGGGATGGGGGGGATGTCGACGTTTCAGATGAATCGCCACAATCAGCGAGCATTTACATGAATGTCCTCCAGCCGTGTTCTGAATAAAGGCTGATTTGACTTGGCGTTAGCTTGCTGGTTGTAGAATAATAGCCCACGTCCGTTCGTTAAGCGGAAGCGCCTGTGTTAATGATGACGATGGTAATTTGTTTTAATCGTGTGCAAACAAAAACAAATCTGGCTACGTGTTAACACACGCACTCACACAAACACACGACATGGAAACTTTGGGCACCAGTGCAGCTACTGCTGCTGTTGCAGATACACACACAGCAAGCTGCGTTTGGTTTAACGCGTAGGCTTTCGCGACCAATATCATCCATAATATATATTTTTTTGGGTTAGATCGCGTAAATATAAATGTGTTGTTAAACCCGCCACCACCCGACACAGCCAGTTAGGAAGCTTTGTCACGTAAACAGAACATGCAAATTCGTTACTAGTACAGCACACCGGTGTGTTGGAGAGCAAATCCACAACATTAACAATCTGTTAGAATTAACGAGGGGGGGGGGGGGGGCTTTGGTTCTTTTTGTTGTTGTAAAGCCCAGCAAGAATCCCGTGCATTTCAATACCCGACGTCTCACTAGGTGGCCGGCACGCACTAAAAGGCCGCGCTGTATGATGGCCCGTGTTCAATAGAGGGAGGCAGGAAGTGGACGACAATTAAACAATTAAAATTAACACGTTAAGCTTTCAGGGGCGATTGCACCGCTGTAAAAAAAACACACGATTGCGAGGCCGCTGGAGCGAGCTTAGCAAGGGTTTTGTCGGGACGTGGATGATGTTGGTGCGGGGAAGCCAATGGGCAGATGGACTTGCCAAAATAAAAATAAAAACACACGGACGCACACGCGTCCGATTGAGAGTTCGAATCCCGCTTGCGGGGGGGGGGGGGTGTCTGTCTGACTCAGCCCATCGTGCGCTTGGGTTGCCTTAAATGAGTGCTGCTTTGTGACTAAAAACACTGTTGGTTGCCCTATGGAGAGGCGCCGACTCTCGCCATAGGAAAGAGGAATTTCCACCACCGGTTCGTGGCTGCAAACGGTTGGCGAGTACCGCCTCAAAGCAGTTCCGCACTAAGCTCGTGTGGGGCCTGTAGCATATGTTATGAAGGGGTCTTGAATAAAAATAAAAAGACAAATATTAAACACAAATTTT